CACACACACACACACAGAGGGAGTTTGCTGCCAGTTGTCCAGATGGTGTATTGGTAGTTGTAGTGGCAGCTTCAACACAGGCACTATTAATAGAAGGAAGTTAGTCCGTCCAAAGCCAGAATCAGGCTGCACACTGGAGCCACAAGCCTCCAACTGTTACTTTTGAGCTGAGCAGAAGAGATCCGACGGGGTTGGACAAGATTAGAGCAAGTCAGCGGCTCAAAAAAAAAAAAAAAAATGAAAATGCACTTTGGACCCCTTAAACATTTGAAAAGACAAAATAAACAGCTACTGCAGCTGTACAAACGCAACTAATACTCCCCAATAATGACAATAACGTGATTCATGCTTTCAGCCAGAAAAAATAAACAAATGCCTTCAGAATCAATTTGGAGGATTTTAAGATAAACTTTTCATAGATGTATGATTAGTGATGTAGCTCTGTGTGATAATACTGTTTCGATCAAGTCTTACAAATGAGTTTGAACGACGTGTGCAACGACTGCTGGTGAGAAACAGCTGGCTGATCAAACCTGGCAAACTTCCAGTAATGTTGATTGATGGGCGGTGTCGCAGTGAAAATATGCTCGGCTAAATAAAGACAGACAAAATGTTAAATCGGTGACTATGTACACCAGAGAAAATAAGTGATGCCATTTTTATCAACAAAGATTTCCACTGATCGTGATGGTTAACTCTATCCAATATTCGAAACTTGGGTTGTTGCCACAAAATTCCATGAAAAGACCAAAATACAGTAGTTTGTCTCTCGATTGCAGCCTGTACTCAGCCCCAAGCCCAATAGGTTGTAGTGAAGATATTTATCGATAAAAAGGCTAAACAAAAGTAAAACAATAGTTTTTAGCCAACATAAGTAAATAGTGTATCTGTTTGGAACTATTTGCAGTTGTGGATTAATACACATTTAGCGCTAGTGAGCATTTAAGCAGCACGGACGGTGAATGTGGGATCAAATCTAAAAATAAAAACTACAGTGCCCACGTTCATCACGATGGAGGAACGTGTCACCAGAGGCAACAGTGTGGCTCACTGACGTGCTTTTAATAGTTTTTCTGTAGCAGTGACGGTCCATGACACAGAGAGGTATATCAGGCTTTGGCTACAGAGACACGACCCGCTAGTAGCATCAATTCATTGTTGGTTTTGGTCTTTTCATGGCATTTATTGACAATGAGAAACAAATCTTATATAACCTGACTTATCCTTTAAATTAATTAAAAACACATAAAAAAGTAAAGTCAGATTCTGTAACTTCCTCTAAGCTCTTGCAGTTTAAACCTGCGCCTCTCTCTGAACTTCTTTCTCCCTTTATGATGAAAATAGTCTTTAGATGACCTCTGCAGGGAGTTGCTCTTATCTGCCGTGCCTTCTTTGGAGCTGTCGATAACTCGCCGTGCCTTAAAATGATATGCTTTGCAGGAGCACTTCGGGACCCGAAAGGGTCGAGAAGCACTGAGATTGATTATGTCAGTTGCTGAGAGGTTAAAAGAAAGTAAGCTAATAAGAGGGCTCAGAGCCAAAGTCTCAGACCTGCAACACTTAAGAGCCATCAGTCTAAAGCTGTTACCATAACAGGCGGGAAACCACAATAAGAGAAGCTGAAGTAGTTGGAGGGAGGGTTCCTACACATTATCAATTCTGTTTAAGACTTATAAATGCTATTTTTTTCACCTGATTCAAAGATTTTGGTTGACGATTAAATGATGTAAATGCAAAAACATTTTGGAAATAACATCATTTTATGATCCAGTATCCAGTTAACAATAGCATTTAACATATTTTCTCAAGGTTCATCATCTGGAAAAGATTTGTTTATTTGCTCATTTTTGTAGAAATTGCAGACCTGTGTAGGAACCCTGAAAGAAAAGGGAAATTACTGAAGAAAATCAGGGCTGGGATCAGTTAACTTTTGGCTCAATCAAGTAAGAAAAACCTTGAAATAAGTGACGAGTAATCCATAAAGGCCCTGAAGACCAATTTTCTCAAGCAGCTTCTTACTATTAACTATTAGGTCACATTTTTGAGAACAATTTTGCTTGTCTCACTGTTTTTGTGCTGTTGTCTTTTTGGCTTTTTAAAGTAGGCAGCTCTGAGGGGGGGAAAAAAACAGGATGATAGAAATTTCTGTGCACCAATCGGGATTTACCGATATTTAAATCAAAATCTGGTCATAGTCGTGGAGTTGTCGCTGTATGCTGTCAATCAAATCTGATCAAATTACACTCACACAATCCTGAAGAAGCAGATTGAGCTGTTTTTCCCCCCCTAACTTTTAACTTCGAATTGTTGCTTCTTTAGTCCAGATTATGTACTATTATAGAGAAATACGCAAGATTTGGAAGCAAGTTTTAGGGGCTTCAAATTTATAATAAAAAGACGGATCCAATTGAATTTAAAGTTAACTGATCTCCCCCATCTCTGGGTTGTGAACATGTGCTGTAGAGTTACTGTCATTAAAAGTGTTAGAGACTATATGTACCAAGTCAAATAACAGGCGATGCTAAAAAAGCAACACCCACCCAGTGGCAGGAACAACCACATGTTGCTGGAACTAGTGAGAGGGTTAGTTAAATGCTACGCTTGTGCTGCCAGCAAAGCCAAAAAGGTTTTAGTTTTCAGTCTGACTCCGTTCTGGATAGTCAGACAGAGCGGGCTTTACCGGCTGCAGGTTGTGGGCCGTTGTTACTGGGCGTGGCCTTATTCCCAAACACAGCATCGAAATCTACAGTCATGGCTGGGGTGGTCTGCTGCAGAAGCTGGTTCTCCATTCCTGAGGGATGCAGTTAAATATGACCGATTAAAAAAAGCCTGTTTGGATTTTTAAACTGCACGAGATGACTGTTGGACTAGCTTTATCTGACACAGCTTTAAAAATAACTGCAGATATATACATCAGATTGGGATTTAGCCTGAATGGAAATCACAGCTTTGCTCTAGTAAGGATTCCACCACCTCCTGCAAAACTAATCCCATTAGATTAGGAACATGGACATTACGGTCTACAGTGTACTGCCATTGTTGTTGCTTAGTAACTTGGGATTCTGCGCAGGCTGTTGGGAATGTCAGGCTTTCAGAGGAGAGTTAAGCTTGTGCACGAGGAAATCCACCGATGCACCTTTTGTCTTCATCCACATCCCTGTAGGGGATTTGGGCTTGAAGCCTCAGAGAGCGGTTGTCTTTGTGGAGTCCACGAAACAAGAAAACCCGACAATATACACAGGACAAACAGTACACCGGTGTCTATTAATAAACATTATGTGACTGTTATAACTAACCTTTGAGAGGATAAAGGTTATATTGGTATAAATCAATACTACTCTCATATCTGTCAGCTAAATATAAATCCACAGCTAGCAGCGTTATCTTAGCTTAGCACAAAGACTGGAAACAGAGGGAAACAGCTAGCCTGGCTCTGTACAACAAAATCAACCTACCAGCACCTCTAAAGCTTATTAATTAACATGTTAGATTGTGTTCGTTTAATTCATACAAAAAACGAAAAGCAAAAAGGACAACTTGCCACTTATGGGTTATGTACCAAACTATTTCTTGGCATGGTACAGTAACTTCCTGGAATCTCATCTCTGCTGGTTTGTCTGCCAACTACTTAGAGCCAAGAAATAGTCCAGGACCGGACCACCACCAACCCCCCCCACCCACTTTGGTTTTGTGCCGATTAAACAAACAAAGACACATCGTGTATATAAGTGAGCTTTCTGGTAGGTGAATTTAGACAGAGCCACGCTATCTGCTTCCCACTGTTGCCAAGTCTTTGTGGTAAGCTAGGTTATCTGGATGCCTGTCACTTCATGTTTAACATAGATATGAATCTCTAGCAATTTTCCCATCTTACTCTCAGCCAGAAAGCCAATAAAGCATATATCCCAAAATATCAAACTATTCCTTTCATTCTACTGCCTTACTGAACACTTCTGTATTTCCTTCATTTACAGTCTTGGACGTTTATTGAAGTATCCTTTGCGTTATTTTTGAGATAAGTACAGGGGATAGGTATCTCTGCACCTGTGTCAGAGTAACTGATAATATAAGGGGCTGATATTTGAGTTGAGAAGTATCTCTGATTCTGAACTTCTTATAAATGGCTTTAGTTCAATCCTCTGTCATAAAGCCTGTAATACTCCGCACTGACAGTTCTTCCAGATGCATCTGTGCTACTTTTTGATTTGAGCTAGCTGATTTTGAGCTAGAAATGTCAGTGTTTTTCAGAAATAGAGGGGGTGTATAGTGTACAGCAAAGCTAATATGTGAGTCAGTGTTGTTGCTCAGCATTTCTGCTGCAGCAACATTTCCCACACTGACAAACAAGAAAACGAGGCTAGGGTGGTTGAATCTCAGCTGACATTTCCTTGGACTGGTTTAATATTGAGCTGCTAAGACTACTATTCCAAAATACTGTGAGTATTTACAATGAAAACACCTGCGCTGAAAACTTGTTTAACTTTATCTCCACACAAGACACCGGCTGGGTCATGCAACATTAGTTTCTGAAGAAGAGGAGGGAATGGTGGTGGGTGGATGGATGGTTTACATAAAAAGACAAATGAATGGCTCGACAGATGGATGGGCAGACATATGAATGACTGGCCAGAGGGAAGACATTTTGCTCAGACATAAATCTGTTTGCGTGCATCTTTATCTGTGTGTGTCTGCGTCCCTGCTGTTGCCTTCATATACGTGCAAATGCAGGTGTGTCGGTAGCGTACCTCCCCAGGCACTGTTGGCGGTGGAGATTGAAGGATTGCTCTGCACAGCGGGGATGAAGGCCGGCTGAAGATCAAACAGGTCACTGTTCAGATTTGGCACACTGAGGAACGAAAGAGTGAAGAGGGAAAGAAAGAGGGTTAATGAGAGAGGAAGAGGAGTAGACAGAAAAACATGGAGGAATAGATAAAGAAGAGATAAGTGAAAGAGATTCAAGAGAAAGTGAGAGGGAGAGAGAGTAGGAGGTAGGGAAGAAGAGGAGAACAAGGGAAAAAGCCGGCGAGATGAAGAGAAACAAAAAGAAGAATGGAGAGACAGTTGGAGATAAGAGTATTAATATTTAATCAAATCGCACATAAATAGCTAAAGTCACCACTAAAAATGTTCGTTTGTCACAGATAAAGATTAATCCTCACTCTCAGAAGGGCTGTAAAAACTTCCACACAGCAATAAAACAGTTAGGAGCAGTAAATTCACAGCGTGTAACAGTGTGTGCATGTCGAGTATAAATTCTATACTGATTATCAAGAATAAATAGTCTTACTTAGTAACTCTATTACAGCTAGAATCAGTCGAGTGTATGATACAAGTGTTTGTTTTGGTGGGGAGGCATCGAAGCAAACAGCCTAGAGACTTTTAAGTGAATTCTGATTTCACATACAGTAAATTTTTAAGGCAATAGGTTGTTGAATAGTTGTTTTATTTGTTAGTTTGTATTGTTTTGGATCTTTTAACCATTCTTGCTTGCCTTAAAGCTTAATTAGCGTTTCACTTTTCTAAAGTTATAATCTTTAAGAAATTTATGAAATCCAATCCCATATTTGACATAATTTGTGATGTTTTCTGCAATAGCCATTCAGTGAATTTACATTCAGTAAATAGCTTTTGTGGCGGGGTCCGCCATTCCCACACTGGCTTCGGATTGCCTTCAAATGCATGAAGAGACTTTAACTGGAAACAAAGTACGTATGTAATCAAGTATTATCTTTTATCATTTATATTAGCCTGTTTCACTCTCCTAACACACCATCAGAGCTGTAATAGTAAGTTAATTAACTCCTAATGCTAACTGAGCTTTCCTACTGCTGCTAGTTCACATTAAAAGCATTACACACTCTGTGGCTTGGCTTATTGTAAAACAGACACAGGAAATGCAATATATTTGTCACTGCAAATCATTAAAAATGCATCTATACTTTTCTCGATTGTTGGATCAGTTTTAAATATTGCAGGCAATAATGGAACAAAAAGAGAAGCAGACACCGTGAGCTGCTCACCTCCAGATCCTCAGCAAGGTAACTAACTGCTTTTACTGTTTGGTGTCATTATGTGGAAGAACTACTCAAATCTACTGAAATCCAATCTGGGTTTTGTAAGACATGATGAAAAAAGGCCAACTACTGGCTGACTTCATTTGTTTGGCTGCACTGTAAACAGATACACCACTCTGTTTTATTTCTGACAAAGTAGCTTGCCGTTCCCAGAATCTGTGGTATTTGTTCAATATCTCAAAAATGTAGAGGACTTGAAGATGTTGGTTTAAAATGGTGAACGTGGGCTAATAGGTGTGTTTGTGTGCACGCACCTGTTGGCAGACAGCGTGGAAGTGAACAACTCTGGGGTCTGTGTGATGTGGTTGTTGTTGGCGCTGCCTATCGACTGGCTGCTGGGGGAGGCAGAGGGTGGAGTCTGCATGCTGATTTCCTTCAGGCGCTGGTCCTGGAAGACACACAGACACACAGACACACAAAACAGAAAGAAAAACACCACAATGCGTTTAGGAAGACGATGGTTAAACAGTCATTTCCCATTGGAAATGAATAAGAGTTTTGTTTCCAGTAAACTCAAATCCAGGACGACGACAAACACATTCTCTCGCACATTCATACAGACTATTCTCGCACAGAGGAAACAACACCCAAAATTCATTCCAGTAAGTTCTTGTGTTTTGAGCCTGTGCTTTTGAGTCGTGATGTTTGAAAATCCTTTTCAAGCATCTCATCACAATCATTCCCAATGTAGAGACAATATGAGTAAAAACATAAAAGGTAGAAGTTTAAATACTTGTGCTTTGGTCTTATTAAAATAGTTCTTGGCCTTATTTTTAAGACTAAAAACCAGGACTGCATCCAAGAGAATTTCCAAAGTCAGTTTATTGCTTGGTTTATGCCTGCCAAGGTTGCCTGGTGGTGTGGAATTCAGCATACACAATTTAATGACAGACAATTAATTTAAGGTCCTTTAAAACTTATTATATTGGTTTCCAGCTCTCCAGCAATGTGTGATGCTGAAAATCTCTCATATCTCAAACAGTATCTGCTCAGACACCAGGTGCAGCTGAAATGCAGACTATTGTTCTCTCTCTCGTGACAGAAACACAAACATCAGCAAAGTTCAGCCACCGCTTAAACTGAAATAAATTCAAGAACAAACCAACACTCGGTTTCGGTTTTTGCATTGTTTTTAGTTGATTCATTGCGATTAAGTCAAGAAATAACAAGCCTTGTGTAACTGTGCCTGCAAGTCACTTTCAGTTTGCACAAACAGAGGCAAAATACTGTTGATACATGCACGACTACCAGTTAACCAAACATGTACATGTCTCAGACTGCACTCAGGTAAGAAATCCACCTGGATAACACAGTGAAACTACCAGAAGATATTTTAGCTACTGATCCAAGATCAACACTCCAGTACTTTGAAGGTTTGCAGGTTTAAAAATCTCCAGACACCGCCAGACTTTCATTTCTTGCATGAATTTGAACGTTTTGCTTCAGGGTCAGTTTGATGCATGCTGGTAACAGCGGGACTGTGAACAACTTGCTGTCACTTTGTAGCTTAAGATGATGCTATATGACAACACATTTTAACATTATGTGAAATGACAGTGGGTGCAAATAGAAACAGAATGCATTCAATCGAGTACATGTCTATGCCGAGTAAATAGTGTTTCTTGGTGCAGTCTATATAACATATTCAATCTGCCTGCACTGGTTTGTATAATCCCATAAGTGACTACATTAAGTTTTATTGTTTTATTGATTGATTTCATCATTCTGGCTGTTTTATTGCCTTTTTTTGTGCTTATATTCCATCTGCCTATATTTCCCGCTGGATCTTATTACTTTTGCTGCTGCTGCAATGACCTAATATCTCGACAAGGATCAATACATTTGTGTCTTATCATGTGGGAACATGTACTGGAAAATAACAGTTTGTTTCATTTTTTTTATCAGAATATGTACTGTTTGGTAGACAACGAAAGCAATTTACAGTACAACAAAGGGGTAGATTCTTAGCATGGACTGCCACAGTGGTAGTGGAAATGCTGCCTCTCACAGTGCCTTTGTCTATTTTATTTACACACGGCCATTCCCTTACACAACCTCTTCCACCTTTAAAGGAATCTGGACTTTGAGCAGATTAATAAACAGAATCTCCTGCTGTACCAGCCTCGGCCCGGCCCGAGTCCTCTTCATTCATATTCTGACAGTGTAGCGAGGAACAAATGGGAACTGCTGTTATTGTTTGGGCTAAGGCCCCAGCTGGACAGTAGCTGAGTGTGAAAGTGTTTGTGTATGAGTGTGTATGTGTGTGTTGAGTCCATATGGACACCAGAGCGCGCAGACAGCTGGACTAGAGTATTTGGACGACCCCTGCTCACCCCAAATCTCTCGCTCTGTTTCTTACTCTGTTATGTTCCCACTCACTTTATCTTTCCTCTCCCTTCTAACTAAACCCAAAGGTAATCAGTGGACCTTGGCAGAAACAGGGCAACCAAGGGCACAAAGTAAACAGCTCCCTAAAATCCAATCAACTGCGCACACAAACAAAGACACAAAGACACACTGGCAGCACATAGAGCGCCTAATCTGCCAGGATATGCACATTCTTCATATACACACAGATCAAAAAAGCTCACACAGATACTGGCAACAGTACTAGACACATACTGTATCTTCTCTGCCAGGATGTAAGCATGCTTAACATGCACGCACGCACGCGCACGCACACACACTGAGCCGCTGTGTGCCTATTTTGTAGCTTCACTGCTCTTACTCAATTACAGTTTGCTGTAAGGCAGGACTCCCAGGGCTGGAGCAAGAAATGTCAACACATTTTACACTTGACTTTTCTATTGCTCGGCTCGCCACTGAGACTCTTGGCCTTTATCCTCAGCTGCAGTTCAGAATTCACTGAACAGCAAAGTTGCCTGGCAATCTATCAGCAGTCTTTAGCAACAACAAAATCGTTTCTCTACAGCACTGCAAAGTCAAACACTGTACGTGTATATATATATATTTGAGTTAACAATTTCTACCATTTGTCACAGCTCAGTGTTTTGTAGTTGCTGCAGATTTGAAGTTTATTGTGGCTCTGCTAACGCAGTCACAGCATAGTCTGAAGTCTAGTGCAATGACTGCAGTTACATGTCATTTTGAGCTTTGATGATCAAATCTCTTTATAGAAAAATATAAAGTGACTTTTCTTGCCCCATTTCTATATTACACCCTCCCTTACCTTTAAATAGTTTAATATTTAGTTTTGTAGATAAGGTGATTGTAGTAAGACTAAGTTCCCAATGGCATGACTAAATAATGTAAAGTTACAGTACAATAACAACCCACCCCCCAAAAAAACATGTTATGGGCTAATATAAAAACAACTAAGATGATTTATAGACGATCATGAATTATTTGAGAGTGCCCTTTTACCGGCTTTTTGTCCTGACACAAACAATAGATTTGACTTTGGTTCTCAGTAGCTCTCTGTGTGCCTACACACAGTGCAAACAAAAAAAGCATAGCACAAGAATATTTGCACAGACATGCAGTAGCACAAAGATAAAAAGCTAGACATGGATAAACAACGTGGTAGTGAAAGAACATTTTCTTTTATCGTTATCTATTAGATTGGATGTGGTGTTAAAGACCTAATTTACATGTTGCATTAGCATGTGATCAGTATGTGAATATCACAGGAAGAACACATGTTAAGTGCAGTGATTTTATTTAAAAAAAAAGTTGTATAAAGCCTTTTGTGTCTCAGAGGGAGCTGGATGAAGTCTGATACATTTCCTAATGAGATATCACGAGTCAATGTTGGTTGGGGAAGAACAGTACAAAATCTGGGGTGTGGAAAGAAGTGAGCTTACACGAGGCACCATTAGCTGCTACTAGCGTAGCACTGCAGAATCTCCCACCAAAATGTCGTCTGATTTTAATACTCTTTTTTTAAACTGTCCAGCTTCAGTCTGACAATATTACAAATGTATGGTGCCTAATAGGTGGAGTACTCTTTTAATGCAATGTGTAAATCGGTCCAGACCACATCTGGAAGAGGGTCTGGCTTGCATTGTTATCAGATGTCAGCCAGGTGTAAATGTAATCAGTACAGCGTGGCCACATTCTTATTGCCTAGCAAGCTGAGAAGTCACCTAGCTCCTGCTCTTCCTGTAAGCTTTAAGCAACCCTGTAAAAAAACAACAAGCAGTAGCAGTAGCTAGCAGAAATTTAAACACAATGCAGGCAGAATGGAGATAACTTGAACACTTATTAATACCAGATGTAAGAGCTGGTGATTAGATATCATTACCCAGCCTTGAATTGCATTTCCTGGAGTGCTGGCAGCCGCTGCTGCAGTTTTGTTTGACATAAGCTGTACATGATAACATTTGAGTAAGCACTGCATCTGCACTTGAATTAAATGAATTGAATGTGAAAAGCATAGTTTGGTATAAACCGTGAGGAGCATATGACTAGCATGCACACAATGGTTACATTTGGTCCCACACAACTCCCAGAAAAAGCCATTACAAGTTCCCAATTTATAATTGCCCATAAACTAAAGCTTTTAGCTGTGTCAGCAGGAGTAGTTGAGCATGAGAATATATTGTTTGGTTACATGGTGTTAAAATTAAAGGGGAATCTGCAAGTTGAAGAAAGGGAAATTTAAAGACGGATTAGGTCAGCAGCTTTTGTGTCAGTGAAGAAGAACAGGCACAAGCAGCAATGGCCATGTTACCTTAAACCCTTTGGGAGTAGTTTGATGCAGCAAATGAGCAAATAATAATAATTCTAATAATAATAATTAAGAAAAATGGTGGGGAAGGATAACAATAAGTAATATCCAGGTAAAGACGACATGTTAATACCAGCTATCAATGGGACCAAAATCAAAAGTGCATCCCTCATGAGTCCTGCTACATTTAGGACTTCTGTAGCAGCTGAGAGCTGCCTGAATGGGAGTAAGAGGGGAGAACAGGGTGACAGCAATAACTATTAGACCTGCTGCTGGCATTTCTGCTGCCACAGCACTGAGCCTGACCCCCTGATTCAGAAGTGATTTGGTGTACAAGTATAAAATCTGTTACCTTAAGAGCCTGCAGTCTGGCCTGTTCCTCCTCCAAGGCCTGCTGCTTCTCCTTCTCGTCCATGCGGCTGAAGGACATGCCGGTGGAGGAGAGAGAAGAGACGGCGCTGGACAGGGTGGATGCTCTGAAACAGAAAGAGAAATGAAAATATTTTGTTTGTTTTTTATTCTGACAAGTGTTGACTGGTGTGATATGTAACCTGACTCAGGAAATGAAGATGTCTACCTGGTGTCTGCATTCAGTTCCTTGGTCTTCTTGCCCTCCAGAGAAGCCAGGTGCTGCTCCAGTGCCTCCAGGAGGCTGCTGGGGGCCTGACGGAGAAGTAAGTATAAGTAAAAGGGTAAGAAATTCAGTAATCCACTCAAGTTTTTGAAAATTCTTTCTCACTTTCCATCTCTCTCATGTGCACAAGAGACACACACATACACACACGCACACACGCACGCACGCACACACGCACACACAGCACCCAGAGTTAGTTGGTCTCACAGGAAGGTAACAGAGTGCATCAGGCTCCAAGAATAGCCATGGCAACATGCAGCAAACACTCACACTGTTAGCAGGAGACTCAAAGGAGAGAGCGAGAGAACAAAGGAGGAGGCTGAAAAACAAAGAGCGAGGAAAAAGGTGGAGAGCGAAGGAGAGGTCGCGCCACTTCTACTCCTGACTTCACATGTAGCTGAGGGTGATCATTTCTGTGCTGTTTCTTTCATTTTATCCATTTAACTTCCCTTGCTGTGTTTTGCCTCTTTGTCTTGCTTATCTCGCAGTGTCCCTCGCACTGTGAGGTCCTGTCATACGGGCACAATGAGTGCCAGGATGCACTCTGTGCCTCTGACTGTCAGTATGTCTGTCTCTATAGTTTAACCAAATCTCTGCATGTGCATTCCACGTGGGGATGGGGATTAAACTCTAGTCTTTTTACATTTTCGCAACCAAAAAAAAAAGTTGGGGCAAGAGTCTGTAAATGATGTTTGTTGTAAGCTGACATAAGGCAGCTGCATTAAATTTGAGCTCAACTGTTCTGGAGGACAAGTTAGTGAGCAGGTTACTTGGGGATTGTTGCTACGCTACTACAGAAAACACAATTCAGCTGCAAACTCGAGTACAGTTCCAATTGTTCAGATTGCGCAACATAATGTCTTCATTGCTCATTAGGTGCCTCATTAATGCTCAAAAAACCACGGGAAACAAAGAGGCAAAAGCGAGTGAGACAACTGCATTATTAAGTGTATAATCTGTGGTTTTCTTACAATTTAACATGCAGAAAAGGAAAAGAGTTCAGCTCTCCTTTGGGTGAAGAGAGAGGAGAGGAAATTCTTCCACTGAGAAAATATGACAACGTCATGTCTGTCTCTCCATCCACAAGAATGCAAAGTGTGCTGTCAGTAGGGCTGCAGACATGCACGCAAACACACTGACGCACACACATTTGGGAGTGTTTTTGGCTTCTGAGCCCTTTGCGGCTGGCTAGACAGTGGGCTCTTGCCAAACTGTTGCCTGGTTGTTAAAGAAACAGCATCATGCAGAAGAGAAAGAGCCCATCTTTAACTGTCAGCGGGTCTGAATGGGTGAAAGAAGACCTTGTGTATGCCCAGTCAATATTAGCTCTGACACACACAAACACACACACTCAGCAGGGTGTCTCCTCATCTCTTGACCGTCTTCCTTTTGACATTTTGTGAGTGTACATTGCTTTCATCTAAGGACGTTTAGTGATAGCACTAACTTTGGAAGGCAGGGAGACGCGGGGGGGAAAAAAAAGTCATCACAGATGAAAATAAGAAAAGAGAGAATCCTCCCTTTCTCCTCTCTCATGTTTCCTTTTTCTACAGCGATTACACGGTAATGCTCGGGTTATTCACTATTAAAGCACCTCCGCCATGCATGTTGAAGCAATGATGTTGTGCATGACAAATATGAAATAAACAACATCTAAGGAGGAGGAGGAGGAGGAGGAGGAGGAGGGTGGAATTTAAATGAGCAAGTCGAAAACCCGGTGCAGGGATTCTTTCATGCAGATGAAGACGGAGGGGTGAAGCCTCATTTTCTATTCATGAGGTTTCATGGCCTTTTGCTTGTCGTGCCGGAGCTCTGTGTGTGCAGCTTGGTGTGTGTGTGTGTGTGTGTGTGTGTGTGAGAGCTACAAGCAATCCACCTGAGGCCAACACACACATATTGTCAACACCGTATTGCTCCACACTGGGAAGAAAAAACAAGAGCATGCCTGTGAGTGTATGAGGTGTAAGTGTGTATGGTTGCACACACACATACACACATACAGCATACATGGTGGTCATGCAGGGACATTAAGCAGGTTGGAGGGGGTAAGCAGTACAGTATGCAACCCACCACCTACAATGTATGATCCTTTTGTTTTCTGCAACAGACGAGGAAGAGAAACGTCTATTTAATGACCTGTGCAGTCTTACTATGAGTTCAACACCCACACAGTCAATCCACATGCTGTTAACTTGCAGTTTTACACTCCGTAATGATTTTTTTTGGTAATGCAAGTCCACACTCCACTGAGGCTGTGAAACGTTTCAGTTGTGTCCATGTGTGGGGGATTTTTGTAAAGATTTCTTGAGGCAGAGAAACAGCAAAGTGGCAACTCTCCAATATTAGGAAGTGCCAAAGTAGCTTTAGTTTAGTAAACTGTAAATCTAATCAGGGCTGCAACTGGCGATTGTTTTCATTATTGATAAATGAGTCTGTAATTGGTAGGCATTCCTGATTCTGATATCCAAACTAGGTATCTGTTGACACTCTAAACTGAAATTTGCTCTCTTCTCGGCAGACCGTAAACTTTGTGAACTCTTGGTCGGATGTAGGAGAATATGCACTTAGTTTCTCTAAGACGCTGGCGTGACTGATTCTTTTTTCAATTGTATGTGCAGCTTCTGTAGTGTTTAGTGTTTACTGTTTCCACCCCCCCCCATCTTCATTTTGAAGCTCCCTCCCGACAGGAGTTGATTCAACCAATCAACTTGCATGATTGCGACTTACGGTTACCCACAATACCCTATTTAAGTGGAATAAAATCTACTGGAGAAAAAAAGAATTCACTTTCACTGATTGCTGTAACCAGCAAATGTTTGGCACTGCTTAATGAATCTCTTAAATGATCAACTGTTTGGACATTTATTAACTATTTATTATATTTTACAGATTGAATGACTAATAGAGACGATAATCAACAGATGAAAATAATTGTTAGCTGCAGCCTTGTTGTTAATACATTTTCTGTTATTCCATTAATCCGTTAATCATTTCCACACTAAGCCACAGTCATACATAATTATTATAGATTATATTACAGGACATGGGTTGTATGTTAAAGCTATGATTGCACGGAAAACTTCAGATCTACAAATAAAGTTCATACAGCTAATTAAGCTGAATTTTAATTGAAATTTAAATATAAAATCTTTCAGTTCTTTAGCATGATGTGTAACTTTATGTGAACCAACCTAACCGGTCCTCCCTTAACTCATTAGGAGGATGAAAGCCATGCTTGAAGTGATTCCTCTGAATTCACAATTAGATAAAAAGGCAACTTCATCCATGGCAATTAAAAACACAAATCATGTAATCTATTCCCTTGTAGTGCTGTCGTCTTTTTTAAAGGCCTTTGTTGTTGCAATTATCACTATTTTTGTAGAGGAAGGTCTGAGCTCATTGTTCGCAGTTGCTCAGGCTGTCAAATCCACGTGATAAAACCTGCAGTGGGCCTGCTGATGGTGCAGTGTTTAAGCAGGCCAACTTAACACACCTCAGCCTGTGGTTGGATCTATAATGAGCATTTAGAAGTGAAAGGAGAAAGCAGGAAATCAATCAAACCAGAGGGGAGTTGCCTAGACTCAGATCAGGTTAGACGAGATGGTTGTTTGAAATAAAAATGAGTGGTTGAAGAGTGAAGGAGAGAGAATGAGTGAAAAATTGGTAAGGAGGGGGGAAACATGTATATGTAGGGGTGAAATAAGGTGCGAGTGGATGGGTGAAAGCACAGAGGGAGCAATGAAACCACATGTAGTGTCGGAGGAAAGCCAGAAAAAGGGTGAGAATCGTAAAAAGAGAGAAGAGGAAGTGGAAGGTGAGATGTACACTGACCTGTGAGAGATCTGGGATGTCACCCTGATCTATTCCAACTTGCTGTCGTCAAAAAACAAAATTAACAAAATAAAAAAAGGGAGAAAGGTAGGTGGGATAAAATGGAGAAGAAAAAAATAAAGAGAAGGGCAGGATCCATTTGTAAAAAAGAAAATATGAGAAAAAGGAAAAAAAAAACAGGGGAATCATTACTTCATGCAGTGGCAGTGTCAACATAAACGACAACAGAAATAAACAAGAAAAAGTTTTTCGACATGTGGATTGGCTGATGAGCCAACCAATCCTCACAGTGAATGACGATGATGATTGGACAGTGATAAATATGTCTGACCGATGAGGGAGAGCGGGCATGGCGACTGATGCGTAATGACGTGACAACATCTATAAATAAAGGACAGCTACGCCAAAACCATCTCAGAAAGATTTTACAACTCAGACAGACAACATTTGCGAGAACATGTTGACTTCTCAGGACACAGATAAAGAACATTAAGTCCTGCAAGTTTTTAAATAATCATCACCATGACCTTGGTTTTCTTTCTAAACCCCTTTATGAGCAGATTTATCAGCGGAAAACATTAATAATGGTTGATCTCCAGCTTATTTAGAGATGGAAAATCTTTAAAGTTTTGTGTTTTGTGTCTTTGAATCCAGCTTGAAGGAAAATGTAATTAAGGGGCTGGGGAGAAAATGTAAAAGCCTTACTGGCCAATGTTAAAACAGGCCCAATTCAAATTCAACAAGCCTTTTTCTATGAGGACATTTTGACGAGACACAGAAGAAAAGCACATTTGTAAATAATAATCAGTCCTGGTGTAGTTCCTGGTAGGTCACTGACTCTCTGTCACAGCTTACTTGGACACTTGAATGTAACAGTCATTGTTAATGTTATTAGCAACACCTGCACTTTTCCTGCTACGACCAAATCTAAATGTCACAGTTAAATGTTAAAAAGGACTACTGCCTCAATATAGAGATGTTTTCTTTTACGTATAGAGAAACTTGTATCACCAATATCTAATTAAGAACAACACCTTAAGATGTCAATTCTGATGTCTTTTTTGTTAAAACTGATTGTTTGCTTTTCATTGGGATGTGTAAAAGACAATCTATTGGTGCATTTTGATGCCACTTTCTTTAACCATTTAATCAATTCGATTTTCTGACTCATGAGGAGGAGCCATGATATGTTTAGATTTTGTACCACTGGAGAATGAAATATGTTCTCTTCATAAGCAAAGGGCAGTTTAGAAAAACTCCATTTTGGGGGTGGTCCATTCACAAATGATGACAAATGGACTATAGTTGATCATAAGAGCCTTGCAATGAATTTGTGCATTATCTTTTCAAGGATTTATCAAATGGTTGGCCTGCCAGAGCGCATTGATTGTTAATAAAGGCCCCATTATACACTCCACCGTGCATTGCACCTGGAATATTTTATACAACATTATTCTGAAAATTACCACAATGACCGTAAAGTCGTGAGTTTAATCTATCAAAGCCTATATTTCATGTTCATGTAACTTCAGCTTGTGGGCAGAACAGTATGTGGTAAAAAGTTAAAGGCCAAATGTAGCAGCCTGTTTATCTGCACCACTGCACAAAATAATGCAAACAGAACTTTCTACAGAAAGTTGTCAATTTATGCACATAATATATAGTATATGTGTCTTATTACAGTGAATGTGCCAACAACACATGCTTTGAGTACTGTTATGGTTGACTTTTGCCAAGGTAATCATCTAGATTAATGGAATAGGTTTTATTTCAGACTTAAGCTTTAAAAAAGCCTTGACATGTTTAAAAAACAGAGCAACTCATTATTAGTTTATTCATTGTTTCTAATCAACTACTGTTTTAAATTGTCTGTAAAAAAAAAACAATACACACTTAATTGTCCAAGGAGCTCCTTAAAACCTAATTATAAAAGACAAAGGGAGCATTTTTTTTTTTTTAATGTACATTAATGCATAGGACGTGAACCACCAATGTAGTTCTACTGCTGAAGTTAAAGCAGCTGATTCTCACTGTTTCCAGCCTGCTGAAACAAAGGAGGGAGAGAAAGGAAGAGGGCACGAGAGGAAAGACAAAAAGAGGGATGATCTGTGGGCACTGGGCGAAGGAGAGCCACAGGGGTATCCATCTTTGTCAGGACGAGAGGGAAGAGAGCGGGAGAAGAAAGGATTAGATGGAGGAGTGTGGGGAGCAGAGGGAGAGGGACCTAACGGAGCGCCTAACCACATCCTCCATCTTAGGGTTATTTTGGGTGTATATGTATGTATGTGTGCAAAGTGTCTGCAAAGCAAATGTGGGGCAGTGAGGGTATGTCAGGTACTCTTGTCTGCGCACACTACAGTAGCACTGTGAGCTAAATCGTGGCAGTATGGAGTCTTTATGCGGGAAAAAATACATCCGTCCAAGTGGTGTTTGAGAATGTGTGTGTTAATTGTGTGTAGATATATGTGTGTTTAAGTGTTCAGGGGATGTGGTCAGGACAAGAAACGGACAAGAAATTATGAAGAAAAGGGTAAAAGGTCATTTGAACGGGAGTAGCTCTTCCAATAAAAGAAAATATCTGGGGGTCAAAACTGACAAAAAAAGACCCTGGAAAAATATTATCCCTGATGTGTGTGTGCACATTTGTGTACTTTTGTGTGTGTTTGTGTGTGTGTGTGAATATACCTCGGCCACTTTGAGGAACTCTGACAGCTTCGTCATCCTGTAAAGAAATTTCTTGTAGATGTCCAGAGCATCTTTGCACTGGTTCTTCTTCATGTCAAAGTATTTCTCTACAGAGACAGAAGGGAGGATGAGGATGAAAACAGTAAAACAAACAAAAATGTTTAAAAAGGAAAAAGGAAAGGAAGGGAGCATTAAAAGAGGGGGAGGGAGGAAGGAAAGGAGAAAGGAGGCAGGAACAATCAGTGCATGATTGAGTGAAGACAAACAGAAGCACTTAGCAGCTACATGACAGCTTGTCAAAACCTTCTCTGCTGCCGTGACAACCAGATTGTGTGCACATATGTGTGTCTTTACATGTCTACCAGACGTGAGCGTGTGTATAAACACACAAAGCAAACCGCAGCTATACTTACACCTCATCATTTTCACACATGTAAGAGAGTGAGCGTCAGCCAGCTCACTGTAGACTGTGTATATTGTAATTGTGTGTGTGTGTGTGTGTGTGTGTTCGTGAGAGAGAGTGTGTGAGTGTGTGAGTGTGTGTTACCCAATAGGTTGATGACCCCTTCATTGTAAGCGGCAAACAGCCTTATGGAGTCTTTGAAGAGCAGCATGAAGGCTGAGTTGATCACTCCGTTGGTCAGCTCATTAGGGTTGGCCTGGAGAGATGAGAGGTAGAAAGAGGTAGAAAGAAAGGGTAAGAAAGAAAGAGAGAGAGAGAGAGAAAGAGAGAAGTGTAAAGGAGACAACTCTTTCCAAAGCTTTTCATAAAAAAAGACATCTCTTTCAGATATTCGCATATCTTTTTCCAAATACCAGCACCTCTTCACACACAGAGCAACTGTCAATTTAGTTCCAGTGTGAAATAACATGCACAGACACAGACACACACACCACAGACACACACACACACTCATATGCATGCCAATGAGAAACTTCACCATCCATTTTTATCGCTCTTTGAAGCTCATTGGCATAAACCACAATGCACCCACCAATTTCTGCAAATCCCCACCCAATCCCCGTCTCCCCTCTGAACACACACACACACACACAGACACACAGACACACACAAACAAATGCTAAAACTTAAAACTCAAAATATGTTGCCATAATATGCTTCTTATACCCATCATTAAAGAGAGCGTCACACTTTGCAAACTGTTGTTCCGATTTACATTTTGATTGGAAAGTGAATCGACCACCACTTTGACACACGTGTGCAAAACACCATACAGACACACACACTTAGTACCTGGAAATCCAAGAGAGCATCCAGCTGGTTCTGAATGATGGGCAGCGTCTTAATCAGCTTCTCTGTGTTCATGGTACGCATCACGCCGTCAATCCTGATAGAACAGACACAAACACACATAATTGTAGCGGGCGCATTGTTGGGGGAAATTCTTATGCAAATGTTGATGCAAATCAGGTAAAATACAAAAAAGGAAACGAAGGAATGATGACAAATGATGGGAAATAAAACAAAAAAGGTAACACGTGTTTTGCATATGAAAGTTTTCCCAGTAATGGCGAGTGGCGCAACAAATGGCGACGAATAATGCCCAGCGGGAACAGTGTGACAAAGGATTCAACGTCGTTACACAACAGTTGGAAAACAACGTCCCAAAATGATGCCCCAACTGTCACTTTCACACAGAAGTCTCCAGCAGGGCTGCATTGTCATTATGTGGTGTATGAAAGTAGAGACAATAAAGGCATAATTCAGTTTAATTTAGCATAAAGACCGGATGCGGTGGGAAACAGTTCGTCTGGCTCTGTCCAAAGATAACAATATCTGGCTACCAGCAACTTGAAAGTTCGCTGATTTTTGAGTTATAGCTTCAAAAACAGAGACATAAAGCAGAGCAGAGAAAAGTCTGGTCAAATGAAATCAATATATCTTTAAAAATACCGCTAAAATAAGAGATGTGCCTCATAGCAGGTTAACTATTGGTCCGCAGTTTGACCTTCTTGCCTGCTTTCAGCCTTTATGCTAAGCTAAGCTAACTGGCAGGTAGCTGTAGCCTAATATTTGTTTTTCTTTTTAATATTTTTTACACTGGGACAGCTTTATTTTCTTCAATACGTGAGCTGGCGCCCAACTAAACAGGAATCTTCTGAAATTAAATACAATGATTCCTGAGCTTTCAACAACATGTTGAAGCAATAGCTTACTGTAATGGATACTGTATACCTCCATTAATATAAGAGATTTTGAGAGTTTTTGTCTATTGTTCTCTCTGTTTAGTGCCAAAAGCTAAACATCGTCTCCTGGTGTGTGACATGGTGAGTGTTACATGATGAGTGGGATTGTCATTTTATGAGTGTGGCCTCCCTTACCCCCTCTTCATCTTGGTGAAATCCACAGCCACCAGTCTGTAGGACATGGCCTTCTCGTTCAGGTAACGGCTGTATCGTCTGATGAAGGTTGACATGTCGTAACCTGGGAGGGAAAACGAGAGGAGAGAGTCGTAAGGAAGGAAAAATATGAAGTGTGTTAAAGTGAGACAGCTGCAGATGATTTCCACCTTTTGTCCTATAAAGTGTCTATTTGTTTTATGTATGCTATACTGTGTATTTGCACTGCATCAGATGCATTTGCATCAAGTAATCAACTACAGTCAAGTACCAGCTTTGACTTTCTAATGCTTTCCCTTGACTGCCTAAAACATTCTAGTGCTCGGTGTAATGTTCTTCGAAGCAAATCCTGCCCATCTGGCTCTTTACAATCAAAATTAAAAAAAGGAAACCAAAATGCTGTGAATGAAATTATTTCCTCATGACTTTTGAGAGGATGAGTGTTTGTGTGCTTTACCTTGCAGAGCTCCCTTATCCAGGAAGTTGTGCAGGTTAAACAGAGTGTTTCTGGAGGCCAGGTACTGGGTGAAACGCTGGGATAAGAAAGACAAAAAAACAAAAGTTAATGCTCGGTCAAATGAAGGTTGATCCAAAATTAAATATGAAACATACACAAAACAAATGGACCTTAAAGCAAAATGTCAATTTATTGGTTTTAATATTGAATTTCAGATGCTCCTGCTGGAAAAGGTTTTTAGTACTTTAAATTTTATGGGATAAGCCTTCATTTTGGCTTTATTAAATTACAAGTAGGTTTTCTGGCTGTAAGGTTATCAGGTGCTCGCAAATGACTATTTCCTCTCCCACAACAACCAAAACACGTCACCCCAAATAACTCCAGTGGAGGTTATCAGCACCCAGCAGGAACATACAAAAAGATACTGTGTGTAAATGAGTGCAACTGTATAGAATTGTATGAGACCTAATATTGATAAAACAACCTTCAGTTTAAGGTTACTGAACTGTAAGCTTGTCTATTATTACCATTACTAGTCTATTACTATTGTCTGTAAGATGGAAAATGAATCTGTGCCAAATTTCATGGCAGTCCGTTCCAAAAGTTGTTGAGATATTTCAGCCTGAACCAACGTGGTGGACCGACCGTCCAACAGACATTGCCATTCCTAACGGCACGCCATTAAGCTGACTAAAAATGCCTTGAACCCTTCGGCAAAGGCCATCTTGTCTTATTTTATGAATTTAGATCACTGAAAAGATAAAACTGATCCAGCGAAACACATGCACACTGTCTGACAAATGATAATGGCTTGTGCTCATTAGCCAACAGCTAATAACAAAGAATGACATGATTCATCACTGCCATGAACTTAAGTCTCTATTAAAATGCAGCACACAGCTATCTCTGCTATGATTCAAACACTTAATCCGTCAAGATGCTTAAACGTAGTGTGATGATTAAATTGTCATTTTACGTTCAGAATTGTCTTTTCTTGTAGTTTGTTTGCCTTCCTGCAGAGAGGTCAGAGGTTAGCTATAGAACGGCAACCCCCAGAGCTGGTGGGGACTCAGTTTCTTGCTCTAAGACACCAGCGGGAGAGAGGATTTAACCCACGTCTCCCTACTGCTACCCCTGCTGCTTTAGAGGGTTTAACTTGAGTCGCTTGGCTTCACCAGCCAGGTTTAAAAATTAACTTTTCTCCTGCTGTTTTTTTTTTTCCTTCAGTCATTTATTAGGACTCCTTTTGAGTCGCGTTCACAGAACTGGCGAGGGAGGACAAATGGCAAGAGGAAGCTGTCTGGAAAAAAATTAATTAACCTTTGAGAAGATTGGCAGCACTATATCATAAATTATTATGTAATGACCCCTTGGAAATGTTAATGAGATCAAAATCTAAAGCTAAACATTTTACAGACTTTCTGACATCTTTGTTTGTATTTGAACATTTTTCCACTACTGTGTAACATAACAGGAACTCGATCCTTCTGTTACTTTCTCAACTCAACATAAATAACTTGCTGGTTTTGACATATCTGATGTCACTAAGCAGGTGCTGGAAGCTCTTTACTTGCCATTTTCCAGGAAAAGGTTTGCTCAGCGTGTCTGCTCTTTTTCCAACATCAACTTGCTTCACATTTACACATTTCCATACTCTCACACCTGGGAGTCGCCCAGTGCAACCACTGTCTTTAACCGTTGGCAACTGAGCGGCTACCATAGCTTTGTTTTCCTCCCCTTATGAGAGCTCTTTTGTTTTGCTTGAGAGAACCTCGATGTTGAGATATTAATGATGACGAGAGCTTTACTTATTCACTTTCACCAGCTCAGATTTTTCAGGCTAGAGCTGGAGATTCAGAATGTAGTCAGGCCTTTGGGAGCACTATGTTCCCTGAGCAGGTGCTGGTAGCAGAGAAGGGCAACCAAATTTGCGCCAGCAAAGTGATCTCGAAGTGATTTTCTACTTGTCACTAACTCTAGACTTGACGTATTATTAGAAGATAGCTTTTGAATTGCAGGACTTCAAAGACCTTGGGATAAGTAGAAGAACTGTATTGTGTATATAATGTGAAAAGAAGATTCCAACTGTATGAGCACCTGGACAAAACTTCTACAGTGTTAAGGCTACTAAACTGAAGTGAAATAGTTCTCTTAATGTTATGTATGTTATGTCATGTGTATTGTTAGTGTGTTAACCTTGTTTAACGAGTGCCTCTGCTCACTCCTTCTGACAGACGGTATTAGCAATGTTGTGAGGCAGGTTATGTAACAGGTTAGCTTGCATTACAAGTCAGAGAGTGCCACGTTGCTATCCACTCACTGTATTTCACTCACTTATTGGAGTTGTATTATTTGCCTATTATAATTCTGCTCATTAGTAAATCATAATTTATAGCCGTTTCATATGCTAGAGATGTAAGAAGATAAGCACTTGCTTAAATCCAATAGCAGAAAATATAGTAATTCTCCATCTGCTAATAATTACTTCCATACAACAGACAAAACTTTTGGCTTTTGGTATCTTCCTGGTGGCGTCTATATTTATAAGCAGGTGCAAAGAGTGCAATAGATAAGATTTTACAATTGAAAAAAATTATTAAAACATAAGCTTTGCTATGTTTTCCAGAGTATTGTGTTTTGTCTACAAGCTTATCAATTACTGAACAGGATATAACTTTATTTTCAGGAACATTTCCCGAAACATTTCCCGAAATATTGCTGCCAAGTAAAACCATTAGGGAGACTAGAGTCCTGACTTCAACTCTCAACTCTAAAAACTTCAGACTTAACCTGGACTCTGTCTCTAAAGACTACACCTGACCTTGCATTTGGTCCCTCGTGGACATCTCTGCTACCTCGTCTTCCACACATCACTGAATAACAGAGTGCAGTGGAATAAGTACTGGCCACCATCCACAGTTTTGGGAACTCAGGCCTCAGGCTTCCCAAAAGCATCTTAACGTTAAGGCCGTCTCTGTCCAACTGACTTAAAATGATCTGAGATTTGCCAGTTTGCCAATTCCCGATCTGGCAGAGGACCAGCCCTCACTGCCTGGTTGGAGCATCTAAGAATGTGCGTGTATGTGTTTTTGAGCACAAATATGCTTGCGGGCATGTGTGTTGGATTCAGCTGCACTGACACATTTCCAAGGGCTCTGGGACTGTTTAAAAAGGCATAAAGATTTTGGATTTTGTTCTGGTTCGTTTTTGTGTGTATGCTCATGGTGTGGGGACAACACTTTGTTCACACTGTCACATATGCTCCCATCAGTGGACCGAAATTTACTTCCAAAAAAGGTTAACCATTATTTTTGCAATTATCAGTTCAATCAATTCAAGCCTGAGGGGGTGTACGCAGCAGTGTTGGTAAAGCTGAGAGTAAGCCTCTAGGGACAAAGTAAATTTAGAAAGTCCAACATTTTCTGTTTGTGTAAATATTAGAATCTTGTCAATAAACCAAACCAAATAAAAAACTGATGGTTTATCTCATTATCAAAATAATCTACTTAGCATTTTGTTTATTAATTGTTCGGTCTATAAAATACAAAATAAATTCTGATCACAAGTTCCTGGAGCCCATGATGATGACTTTTAATAGAAAATATTTAATCTACAATCATATAAAACAGAGAAAAACAGAAAATCCTCACAATTGAGGAGCTGAAACCAGCAAATGTTTTTACCCATACTTGCGACATGATTCTAGGGATGGCAGTATAACTCCGTTGATCTACATCTCAACAACAATTAGATGGATTGCCAAGAACTTTGGTACAAACATTGTTGATCCCTTAACGCTCCAACTAGTGGCGCCATCAGGTCAAAATTTTAATTTGTCCAATACTTTTTGTTCTGCAGATATTTGATCAAAAACCAATGACATTCCCATCGGCACTGGTTGTACTTTGTGTTTAGTGCTAATTAGTAAATGTCACAATGCTAACACACTAAAACTAAAAAGGTGAACATGGTAAACATTGCCACTGTAAGCATGTTAACATGCTGACATTAGGATTGCCGCCATGCATAAATACACGTCTCACAGAACTGCTAGCATGGCTGTAGACTTCTCGTCTTATTGCTTGATAAATGACAATTCATTGATTAGTTAATTGCCTAATCCATCATTTCAGCTCTGATTGTAAGTGGCCCTCAGAACTTAAGTATGTGTGATCTTAAGAGCATGGTGTAATGCAAGAGGCTAGATGAGATGCTGTCGTGACACATCTTGAGTATGAGTTCAAGTTTCATGATGACTTAAGCATTCTGCCTGTGTAAAAAATGAACCCAAGTTAAGAGAGAGAAACTTCGACAAGATGGTCACAGATAGAGGGGAGGAAAAGAGGGAGAGATAGCAAGTGAAAGCTCTTTATACACTTCATAAGCTCTTCTTGTGTGCCGACTCGTCATCAAAACGAGAGTCTGCGTTTCTCCCTCAGCCTCAAACACAAAGGCGGAGGCAGAGAGAACCCACACAAAACGCGTGGATATAGTTAAAAAGGAGAAAATCTATAAAGGGGCAGAAACACTAGGCGCAGAGAGACAGAGAGGGAGACTCAGAAACCCGCCGAGCCCTAGATTATTCAGCGAAGACGGTTCCAAGAAAAAGACGCTCTTCTGAGAGGAG